GGCCTCAAGCCCGTGTCAGTACCTGTGTCAGTACCTGCGATTGGCCCATTTGGGGTTCGGTGTCCCCTCTGCACCAAGGGGGGCTCAGTCAGCCAGACCTAGACCCCACTGCCCTGGCAGGGCATGCAGCCAGCAGGTGGGCAGGGCAGGTAGACGGGGCAGGTAGACAGGGCAGGTAGACGGGGCAGGTAGACGGGGCAGGTAGACAGGGCAGGTAGACGGGGCAGGTAGACGGGGCAGGTAGGTAGGGCAGTTAGACAGGGCAGGTAGACGGGGCAGGTAGACGGGGCAGGTAGGCAGGGCAGGTAGGCAGGTAAGCAGGGCAGTTAGACGGGGCAGGTAGACGGGGCAGGTAGGCAGGGCAGTTAGACAGGGCAGGTAGACGGGGCAGGTAGGTAGGGCAGTTAGACAGGGCAGGTAGACGGGGCAGGTAGGCAGGGCAGGTAGACGGGGCAGTTAGACGGGGCAGGTAGACGGGGCAGGTAGGCAGGGCAGGTAGGCGGGGCAGGTAGGTAGGGCAGTTAGACAGGGCAGGTAGACGGGGCAGTTAGACGGGGCAGGTAGGCATGGCAGGTAGACCGGGCAGGTAAACCAGGCAGTTAGACAGGGCTATGCTAGAAGCGGAAGAGACCTCCCTGGGTATATGGTCGTGGACTTTGACCGGGAGGGGGGTGCCTGGGCAGGTGAAGAGGAAATCATTACACTCTTAAATCTACATACTCCTCACCTCCAACCCCCTTACTCTATATCCGTATCCCTAGCCTTCAACACGGCATCTCATCGACCCCTATCGTTCACTAAGACCCCCTCAACCCTTATCGTTCACTAAGACCCGTCATCTGACCACTACACCTCATCCTCAGAATCCCCACTACCGCTCAGACCCCCTATCCACAACCCTCACAGACGTCTAACCCTGCACTCGGATGTTTGGCCAAATGTAATAACGAGTGTTTGGCACATCGAGATGGCTTCACTGGCACGTTCCGTGGTAAACTCCAAGCGTAGTTTAACTCGGGTTGTGTGTTGGCAGGCTCACAATGGCAAACTCCTGATTTGACTTAAAAGCTTTCGTGACTGCAGGAATTCATACTCTTTGGGTCTTTGGGTAGAGTACGTGACTTTACCGAAAGACCCAAATAGTATAAACTCATGATTCCTCCACAACTGCATGGGTCGCATAGAAGAAGGCAATGATGAGAAGGAAAGTGGCACTATTTAGAGAGCCCCTTGCCCGTCCAAGGACAAACGGGTGTACTGCAGTAAATCTGAAACTTGCAAGCGAAAAGCAGATCGCGACGTGATGTTCATTGCATCAATGCGTGCGCAATTTGTTAGGCCGCGGTGACACAAACTTAGGGGTCGTCCATAAATGACGTCACGCGATTTTGGACGATTTTTGACCCCCCCCCCCCCCGTCGGCACAAAAAGTCAGACCCCCCTCAAATATGACGTCACAAAGCTGTGCTCCCCCCCTCCCAAAATAAAACATGCCTTCAAATCGTTTTAAACTATTGCCATTGTAGTGCGTATTTAATGTGGCGCTGCACTCTGATGTTGTAGGAGAAAACATTTATTAAAAAGTCTATTTAATTAAGTAGAACGTGTTGTTTATATTTATTTAAAGTTGCGCATTTTGACGTGACGTCACATTTCTCACCCCCCACACATCGTCAGAAATGTCTGACCACCAACCCCCCCCAGGTGCGTGACGTCATTTATGGACGGCCCCTTATATCATTTTAAGGTTATAATCCCTTGTCCATCACGACGTCCTTTTTACTTCGATGTCCCAACAGCGTTACGGAGATCACGTGACGTGAGGGTTCTGCCTTTGTAGTGAGGGTTGTGAGTTGACGCCGAGGAGGGGGGAGGAGGCGCCTCGCCCCCCCCCATGTGGAGTGACGTCAGCCGCTAATGGGGAGGAGTCATTTGGAGGACGTCACCTGTTCATGATTATTAATGAGGGGGCTGTTCCATGTGGAATGGCGTCACTTGCTCATGATTATTAATGAGGGGGGAGGGTGCTCCATGTGGAGTGACGTCACTTGCTCATGATTATTAATGAGGGGGAGGGTGCTCCATGTGGAGTGACGTCATTTGCTCATGATTATTAATGAAGGGGGTCCATGTGGAGGACGTAACCTGTTCATGATTATACTCTTTGGTTTTTTCGGTAAAGTCACGTGGATAAAAATACAATTAAAAGAAAAGAAAACAACTAAATCAAATCACGACGTTTCGGGGGCAACACAAGCTTCCGTCTTCAGGTGGAACAGTCACAGCAAGATAGCTGCATTATTTTATCTACGTGACTTTACCGAAAAAACCAAAGAGTATGAATCCTTGCAGTCACGAAAGCTTCAAATCTGTTCATGATTATTAATGAGGGGGGCTGGCCGACGTGGAGTGACGTCACCTGCTCATGATTATTAATGAGGGGGGCTGGCCGACGTGGAGTGACGTCACGCGCGGGACACACAGACATTCTTGGCTCATTATTTGGACACACGTGTAGGATGGACAAGATGGAAATTAAAATGGTGTGGTTGGGAAAAATGAAAGGAACGGCAAAGAAAGGAAGACCTCATAGGGCACAGCATGACGATGACATAAGATTGGTGCCAGAATAATGTGGCCTCGGCTTGAGCATATTGGCACTACAAGACAGAGGAGAGTGGCAACAACAAATGACGAAATGTGCAGTGGACACGTACTCCGGGCTGTTTGCCCATGGATAGTGATGATGATGAAGCATGGTTCACCAATGGCAACTTTTAAAAAGGTTTGTTCATGAAGCCATCCAGATATCTAAACAAAGACAAAACTTCAACCGAGAAGATGGATACAAATTGAACAATCATTGGAAGGATGTTATCAACCAGGTAATGCCTTAACTTGTTGTTGTTTCCATCATTACCTGCCGGTTTACTGCAAGCCCCGCCCACGTCCCCCCCCCCCCCAGTCTCACGTCCCCCCCCCCCCAGCCTCACGTCCCCCCCCCCAGCCTCACGTCCCCCCCCCCCCAGCCTCACGTCCCCCCCCCCAGCCTCACGCCCCCCCCCAGCCTCACGTCCCCCCCCCCAGCCTCACGTCCCCCCCCCCCCCCAGCCTCACGTCCCCCCCCCCCAGCCTCACGTCCCCCCCCAGCCTCACGCCCCCCCCCCCAGCCTCACGCCCCCCCCCCAGCCTCACGTCCCCCCCCCCCAGCCTCACGTCCCCTCCCCCCCCAGTCTCACGTCCCCCCCCAGCCTCACGTCCACCCCCCCTCTCCCCCCCCCCTCCCCCCCTCTCACCTATATAACCTCTTACACGGCAGCTCTCCCACCGACTTCACCATGTTCTTGCCGTGGTTGTCCCACCTGATGAGGATCGCTTGTGTTGCGATCGAAACGTCGTGATTTGTTTCATTTTATTTTATTTCTACCTACGTGACTTTACCGAAAGAACCAAAGAGTATAACTTTTAAAAACTAAACTATGTTTTGCAAGTATAGAAACTGGCAAAAAAAGCTCCCATTTTGTAGCCGCTCACCCCGAGATATAAAGGCCCTGATAGTGAATTGTCCTTGTACTGTTCGCCTTTTGTGGTTCTCTGGGCTAACACTGGTGGTGAGACTGAGCCGAAACAAAGCTGCTGCTGCTGTTGCTCTTTGGTGTAGGCCAATCAGTTTCAAAGACAAGGCCTCGTTCATTATCAAAGCGAGCTTGTTCACCACAAGTACGTGTGGTTAATGCAAAATATTTATATTTTGTGTTTGAACATCTTAACACCTGTTTTATTGCCAGGAATGGTAAATACCTATTTTTATTTTTTTTCATAAACTATTTTTTTATTTTAACAGGTAAGCGCCAACTGAGCCATGTAGCTCTTTTTTTAAGACGCGACCTGGCCACAATTGATAGCTCAACGAAGTGGCTTATCACGTGGCAATTTCAAGCGGCCACATTACTCTGAATGCCTGTTTTTAAATGTGGAGGGGGAAAAAAACCGGAGGACCCGGAGAAAAATTCGAGACACCGTAAACTCCAAATATACACCAGCAGCAGCAGGAGGAGGAGAAGCAGGCGTCAGGGTCAGGGATCGAACCCCACGACCTCTCCTGTACACCAGGCGAGGTCGTGGACATCCCATAGCCACCGCTGCGCGTTCTTACAACAGGGATCGTACGATCCAAGTGACATTTGCGTTTTCCAGACGTGAGCCAGTGGTACAGGGACAACGTCGCCGCCACAAAGTGCAAACGTGTAATTAAGGCGGTGGTGCCAGGCTGTTCAGCGCTCCGTTTGCGCGACGAACCCGGCTGTCACCCCAGCTCGATTCGCGCTCACGCTCATCACCGCTGACGATTGTCTGAACCGGTACATGGGCCTCCCCTAGGTCGACTCAGCCTCAAATGTGTACCCGGTGCGGTGTGTGGTAAACATCCGACACTGAGACAAAGGCGGTCCGGGGTGGTGCTGACCAACCACCATCCTCGTGTCACAGTGCCGCCCTTCATATCTGCTGCTGCTCGCTAACAGCACTTGCCCCATCAGTCTGCCAGAGGCTACACGGGGGATCTTTGTCTTTGTCTCCTTCATAGGTGCTACTGCTACTTGCTAACAGCACTTGCCCCAGCAGTCTGTTAGAGGCTACACGGGGGGGGGGGGGGGGGGTCTATGACTTTAAAAAAAATCGGTATCGCTCATTGTAATCAATTTTTAAAAAAATCGATCTTTAAATTACAAAACAATTCGTAGGAAACCTAAGAATCCGAGGCGGTGTCGTACCACGAGACCCCGACCAGCTAGGACCCCCCCAACCCCACAGCCGCGGCCACCCCATTGCCTTTCTCGTTTGTCGTCTAACTTTAATAAATATACGATTGGAATTAAATAGTTTCGACGACGAGTATGGGTGTAGCGGGAGTGGAGACACGCGATCCCATGAGGGTAAACATAGATAACGATCGATGTAGTTATAATATCATTTATTTTTGTGTGTGTTGTCACGCGTCCGTGCGGGACATTTATTTATTCTTTTATTTTGAGACCGGCACTTTTCGTGGTGCCCGTGCCGGTGGGGGGCCTCGCGCTGCGGACACCTCAGGGGCCTTCACCCCGAGTTGAGGCCGCGCACGCGCGCCATCGTTCAGCGTGAGTTGTGGCGGTGGCGAGGCAGCGAACACTCACCACGAACACTCACCCCTAACACTCACCCCTAACACTCACCACGAACACTCACCACGAACACTCACCCCTATCACTCACCCCTAACACTCACCACAAACACTCACCACAAACACTCACCCCTAACACTCACCCCTAACACTCACCACGAACACTCACCACGAACACTCACCCCTATCACTCACCACGAACACTCACCCCTATCACTCACCCCTAACACTCACCCCTAACACTCACCCCTAACACTCACCACGAACACTCACCACGAACACTCACCCCTATCACTCACCCCTAACACTCACCACAAACACTCACCCCTAACACTCACCACAAACACTCACCCCTAACACTCACCACGAACACTCACCACGAACACTCACCCCTATCACTCACCCCTAACACTCACCACAAACACTCACCACAAACACTTACCACGAACACTCACCACAAACACTCACCCCTATCACTCACCACGAACACTCACCCCTATCACTCACCCCTATCACTCACCCCTAACACTCACCACAAACACTCACCCCTATCACTCACCCCTAACACTCACCACAAACACTCACCACAAACACTCACCACGAACACTCACCACGAACACTCACCACAAACACTCACCCCTATCACTCACCACGAACACTCACCCCTATCACTCACCCCTAACACTCACCACAAACATTCACCACAAACACTCACCACAAACACTCACCACGAACACTCGCCCCGAACACTCACCACAAACACTCACCCCTAACACTCACCACGAACACTCACCCCTAACACTCACCACAAACACTCACCCCTAACACTCACCACAAACACTCACCACGAACACTCACCACAAACACTCACCACAAACACTCACCACACACACCCCTAACACTCACCACGAACACTCACCCCTAACACTCACCACGAACACTCACCACGAACACTCACCACAAACACTCACCCCTAACACTCACCACAAACACTCACCACGAACACTCACCCCTAACACTCACCACAAACACTCACAACAAACACTCACCCCTAACACTCACCACGAACACTCACCACAAACACTCACCACGAACACTCACCCCTAACACTCACCACAAACACTCACCACGAACACTCACCCCAAACACTCACCACGAACACTCACCCCAAACACTCACCCCTAACACTCACCACGAACACTCACCCCTAACACTCACCACAAACACTCACCACGAACACTCACCCCTAACACTCACCCCTAACACTCACCACGAACACTCACCCCTAACACTCACCACAAACACTCACCACAAACACTCACCACGAACACTCACCCCAAACACTCACCACGAACACTCACCCCTAACACTCACCATGAACACTCACCCCTAACACTCACCACAAACACTCACCACGAACACTCACCCCTAACACTCACCCCTAACACTCACCACGAACACTCACCACAAACACTCACCACAAACACTCACCCCTAACACTCACCCTTAACACTCACCCCTAACACTCACCCCTAACACTCACCACGAACACTCACCACAAACACTCACCCCTAACACTCACCCCTAACACTCACCACAAACACTCACCACAAACACTCACCACAAACACTCACCCCTAACACTCACCACGAACACTCACCACGAACACTCACCCCTAACACTCACCCCTAACACTCACCACAAACACTCACCCCTAACACTCACCCCTAACACTCACCCCTAACACTCACCACAAACACTCACCCCTAACACTCACCCCTAACACTCACCACGAACACTCACCACATACACTCACCACAAACACTCACCCCTAACACTCACCACGAACACTCACCACACTCACCACAAACTCACCCCTAACACTCACCACAAACACTCACCCCTAACACTCACCACAAACACTCACCACGAACACTCACCCCTAACACTCACCACACTCACCACAAACTCACCCCTAACACTCACCACGAACACTCACCCCTAACACTCACCACGAACACTCACCACGAACACTCACCCCTAACACTCACCACAAACACTCACCACGAACACTCACCCCTCACACCACAAACACTCACCACAAACACTCACCCCTAACACCACGAACACTCACCCCTAACACTCACCACAAACACTCACCACGAACACTCACCACAAACACTCACCCCTAACACTCACCCCTAACACTCACCCCTATCACTCACCACAAACACTCACCACATACACTCACCCCTAACACTCACCACAAACACCACAAACACTCACCCCTAACACTCACCACGAACACTCACCACGAACACTCACCCCTAACACTCACCACAAACACTCATCCCTAACACTCACCACGAACACTCACCACGAACACTCACCCCTAACACTCACCCCTAACACTCACCACAAACACTCACCACATACACTCACCCCTAACACTCACCACAAACACCACAAACACTCACCCCTAACACTCACCACGAACACTCACCCCTAACACTCACCACAAACACCACAAACACTCACCCCTAACACTCACCACATACACTCACCCCTAACACTCACCACAAACACCACAAACACTCACCCCTAACACTCACCACGAACACTCACCCCTAACACTCACCACGAACACTCACCACAAACACTCACCACAAACACTCACCCCTAACACTCACCACGAACACTCACCCCTAACACTCACCACAAACACCCCTAACACTCACCACAAACACTCACCCCTAACACTCACCAGGAACACTCACCCCTAACACTCACCCCTAACACTCACCCCTAACACTCACCACGAACACTCACCACAAACACCACAAACACTCACCACGAACACTCACCACAAACACCACAAACACTCACCACAAACACTCACCCCTAACACTCACCACGAACACTCACCACGAACACTCACCCCTAACACTCACCACAAACATTCACCACGAACACTCACCACAAACACTCACCCCTATCACTCACCACAAACACTCACCCCTAACACTCACCCCTAACACTCACCACAAACACTCACCACATACACTCACCCCTAACACTCACCAAACACCACAAACACTCACCCCTAACACTCACCACGAACACTCACCCCTAACACTCACCACGAACACTCACCACAAACACTCACCACAAACACTCACCCCTAACACTCACCACGAACACTCACCCCTAACACTCACCACAAACACTCACCCCTAACACTCACCAGGAACACTCACCCCTAACACTCACCCCTAACACTCACCACAAACACTCACCACGAACACTCACCACAAACACCACAAACACTCACCACGAACACTCACCACAAACACCACAAACACTCACCACAAACACTCACCACGAACACTCACCACGAACACTCACCCCTAACACTCACCACAAACATTCACCACGAACACTCACCACAAACACTCACCCCTATCACTCACCACAAACACTCACCCCTAACACTCACCACGAACACTCACCACGAACACTCACCCCTAACACTCACCACTAACACTCACCCCGAACCTCACCACGAACACTCACCCCTAACACTCACCACGAACATTCACCACGAACACTCACCCCTAACACTCACCCCGAACACTCACCACGAACACTCACCACGAACACTCACCACAAACACTCACCCCTAACACTCACCACTAACACTCACCCCGAACCTCACCACGAACACTCACCCCTAACACTCACCACGGACACTCACCACGAACACTCACCCCTAACACTCACCACGAACACTCACCCCTAACACTCACCACAAACACTCACCCCTAACACTCACCCCGAACACTCACCACGAACACTTACCCCTAACACTCACCACGAACACTCACCCCTAACACTCACCACGAACACTCACCACAAACACTCACCACAAACACTCACCCCTAACACTCACCACAAACACTCACCACAAACACTCACCCCTAACACTCACCACGAACACTCACCACAAACACTCACCCCTAACACTCACCACGAACACTCACCACAAACACTCACCCCTAACACTCACCACGAACACTCACCCCTAACACTCACCACAAACACTCACCCCTAACACTCACCACTAACACTCACCACTAACACTCACCACAAACACTCACCACTAACACTCACCACTAACACTCACCACTAACACTCACCACAAACACCACAAACACTCACCACAAACACTCACCACAGACACTCACCCCTAACACTCACCACGAACACTCACCACGAACACTCACCACAAACACTCACCCCTAACACTCACCACGACTCACCCTAACACTCACCACAAATAGTCACCACAAACACTCACCACAAACACTAACCCCTAACACTCACCACAAACACTCACCACAAACACTAACCCCTAACACTCGCCCCTAACACTCATCACAAACACTCACCCCTAACACCACGAACACTCACCCCTAACACTCACCACAAACATTCACCACAAACACTAACCCCTAACACTCACCCCTAACACTCATCACAAACACTCACCCCTAACACCACAAACACTCACCCCTACCACTCACCACAAACACTCACCCCTAACACTCACCCCTAACACTCACCACGACTCACCCCTAACACTCACCACGAACTCACTACAAACACTCACCACAAACACTCACCACGACTCACCCTAACACTCACGACGACTCGCCCCTAACACTCACCACGACTCACCCCTAACACTCACCACGACTCACCACAAACACTCACCACAAACACTCACCCCTAACACTCACCCGTAACACTCACCACAAACACTCACCACGAACACTCACCACAAACACCACGACTCACCCTAACACTCACCACGACTCACCCCTAACACTCACCCCTAACACTCACCACGACTCACCCTAACACTCACCATGACTCACCACGAACACTCACCATGAACACTCACCACGAACACTTACCACAAACACTCACCACGACTCACCACAAACACTCACCACGACTCACCCTAACACTCACCACGACTCACCACGAACACTCACCACGACTCACCCCTAACACTCACCACAAACACTCATCACGACTCACCACAAACACTCACCACAAACACTGACCACAAACACTCACCCCTAACACTCACCCGTAACACTCACCACAAACACTCACCACGAACACTCACCACAAACACCACGACTCACCCTAACACTCACCACGACTCACCCCTAACACTCACCCCTAACACTCACCACGACTCACCCTAACACTCACCATGACTCACCACGAACACTCACCATGAACACTCACCCCTAACACTCACCACAAACATTCACCACGAACACTCACCACAAACACTCACCCCTATCACTCACCACAAACACTCACCCCTAACACTCACCCCTAACACTCACCACAAACACTCACCACATACACTCACCCCTAACACTCACCAAACACCACAAACACTCACCCCTAACACTCACCACGAACACTCACCCCTAACACTCACCACGAACACTCACCACAAACACTCACCACAAACACTCACCCCTAACACTCACCACGAACACTCACCCCTAACACTCACCACAAACACTCACCCCTAACACTCACCAGGAACACTCACCCCTAACACTCACCCCTAACACTCACCACAAACACTCACCACGAACACTCACCACAAACACCACAAACACTCACCACGAACACTCACCACAAACACCACAAACACTCACCACAAACACTCACCACGAACACTCACCACGAACACTCACCCCTAACACTCACCACAAACATTCACCACGAACACTCACCACAAACACTCACCCCTATCACTCACCACAAACACTCACCCCTAACACTCACCACGAACACTCACCACGAACACTCACCCCTAACACTCACCACTAACACTCACCCCGAACCTCACCACGAACACTCACCCCTAACACTCACCACGAACATTCACCACGAACACTCACCCCTAACACTCACCCCGAACACTCACCACGAACACTCACCACGAACACTCACCACAAACACTCACCCCTAACACTCACCACTAACACTCACCCCGAACCTCACCACGAACACTCACCCCTAACACTCACCACGGACACTCACCACGAACACTCACCCCTAACACTCACCACGAACACTCACCCCTAACACTCACCACAAACACTCACCCCTAACACTCACCCCGAACACTCACCACGAACACTTACCCCTAACACTCACCACGAACACTCACCTCTAACACTCACCACGAACACTCACCACAAACACTCACCACATACACTCACCCCTAACACTCACCACAAACACTCACCACAAACACTCACCCCTAACACTCACCACGAACACTCACCACAAACACTCATCCCTAACACTCACCACGAACACTCACCACAAACACTCACCCCTAACACTCACCACGAACACTCACCCCTAACACTCACCACAAACACTCACCCCTAACACTCACCACTAACACTCACCACTAACACTCACCCCGAACACTCACCACGAACACTCACCCCTAACACTCACCACGAACACTCACCACAAACACCACAAACACTCACCACAAACACTCACCACAGACACTCACCCCTAACACTCACCACGAACACTCACCACGAACACTCACCACAAACACTCACCCCTAACACTCACCACGACTCACCCTAACACTCACCACAAATAGTCACCACAAACACTCACCACAAACACTAACCCCTAACACTCACCACAAACACTCACCACAAACACTAACCCCTAACACTCGCCCCTAACACTCATCACAAACACTCACCCCTAACACCACGAACACTCACCCCTAACACTCACCACAAACATTCACCACAAACACTAACCCCTAACACTCACCCCTAACACTCATCACAAACACTCACCCCTAACACCACAAACACTCACCCCTACCACTCACCACAAACACTCACCCCTAACACTCACCCCTAACACTCACCACGACTCACCCCTAACACTCACCACGAACTCACTACAAACACTCACCACAAACACTCACCACGACTCACCCTAACACTCACGACGACTCGCCCCTAACACTCACCACGACTCACCCCTAACACTCACCACGACTCACCACAAACACTCACCACAAACACTCACCCCTAACACTCACCCCTAACACTCACCACAAACACTCACCACGAACACTCACCACAAACACCACGACTCACCCTAACACTCACCACGACTCACCCCTAACACTCACCACTAACACTCACCACGACTCACCCTAACACTCACCATGACTCACCACGAACACTCACCATGAACACTCACCACGAACACTTACCACAAACACTCACCACGACTCACCACAAACACTCACCACGACTCACCCTAACACTCACCACGACTCACCACGAACACTCACCACGACTCACCCCTAACACTCACCACAAACACTCATCACGACTCACCACAAACACTCACCACAAACACTGACCACAAACACTCACCCCTAACACTCACCCGTAACACTCACCACAAACACTCACCACGAACACTCACCACAAACACCACGACTCACCCTAACACTCACCACGACTCACCCCTAACACTCACCCCTAACACTCACCACGACTCACCCTAACACTCACCATGACTCACCACGAACACTCACCATGAACACTCACCACGAACACTTACCACAAACACTCACCACGACTCACCACAAACACTCACCACGACTCACCCTAACACTCACCACGACTCACCACGAACACTCACCACGACTCACCCCTAACACTCACCACAAACACTCATCACGACTCACCACAAACACTCACCACAAACACTGACCACAAACACTCACCCCTTAACACTCACTTGGACTCACCGCTAACGCTTACTAAACGCCACAATATTTACTACACGTCACACACAGTACCTACTACACGTCACACACAGTACTTACTACACGTCACACACAGTACTTACTACACGTCACACACAGTACCTACTACATGTCACACACAGTACTTACTACACGTCACACACAGTACTTACTACACGTCACACACAGTACTTACTACACGTCACACACAGTACTTACTACACGTCACAGTACTTACTACACGTCACACACAGTACTTACTACACATCACACACAGTACCTACTACACGGCACACACAGTACCTACTACACGTCACACACAGTACTTACTACACGTCACAGTACTTACTACACGTCACACACAGTACCTACTACACGTCACACACAGTACTTACTACACGTCACAGTACTTACTACACGTCACACACAGTACTTACTACACGTCACAGTACTTACTACACGTCACACACAGTACTTACTACACGTCACACACAGTACTTACTACACTGCACATCTCAATTGTCGTCTCTCTGTTTGATCTCCTTGCTCCGCCTTCCTGTACCTCTCCGTTTCCCTCCTCCGAGTCCCTTTCTCACTGTCGAGTCGACCAACCTCTCTGCCCGCATCACAGCGTCACTTGTCTCCCATTCTCTCCGTCTGTCTTCCCCCCCCCACCGTCATCTGTTCCGGCGGGCAGTGCGGCACCGTCATGGGCCGGCGGAAGTCGAAGAGGAAGCCGCCGACCAAGAAGAAGATGGTGGGAACCCTTGCGACCCAGTTCACCTGCCCCTTCTGTAATCACGAGCGGTCGTGCGACGTCAAGATGTGAGCCACAGCCCCGCGGGCCACCCCAGGGTTTGCTGCACCCAACGGGTCGCGTTTGTTGACGGCGCCACCGAAACAGCCTCACCAACAACACCGAAACAACCTCACCGACACCACAACAACCTCAACAACAACACCGAAACAACCTCACCGACACCACAACAACCTCACCAACAACCTCAACAACAACACCACAACAACCTCACCAACAACCTCACCAACAACACCACAACAACCTCACCAACAACACCACAACAACCTCACCAACAACACCACAACAACCTCACCAACAACACCACAACAACCTCACCAACAACACCACACCAACCTCACCAACAACACCACAACAACCTCACCAACAACACCACAACAACCTCACCAACAACACCGAAACAGCCTCACCAACAACACCACAACAACCTCACCAACAACACCACAACAACCTCACCAACAACACCACAACAACCTCACCAACAACACCACAACAACCTCACCAACAACACCGAAACAACCTCACCAACAACACCACAACAACCTCACCAACAACACCACAACAACCTCACCAACAACCTCACCAACAACACCACAACAACCTCACCAACAACACCGAAACAGCCTCACCAACAACACCACAACAACCTCACCAACAACACCACAACAACCTCACCAACAACACAGAAACAACCTCACCAACAACACCACAACAACCTCACCAACAACACCATAACCTCACCAACAACCTCACCAACAACACCACAACAACCTCACCAACAACCTCACCAACAACCTCACCAACAACACCACAACAACCTCACCAACAACACCGAAACAGCCTCACCAACAACACCACAACCTCACCAACAACACTGAAACAACCTCGCCAACAACACCACAACCTCAACAACACTGAAACAACCTCACCAACAACACCACAACAACCTCACCAACAACACCACAACAACCTCACCAACAACACCACAACAACCTCACCAACAACACCACAACAACCTCACCAACAACACCACAACATCCTCACCAACAACACCGAAACAACCTCACCAACAACACCGAAACAACCTCACCAACAATACCACAACAACCTCACCAACAACACCGAAACAACCTCACCAACAACACCACAACAACCTCACCAACAACACCACAACAACCTCACCAACAACACCACAACCTCAACAACACCACAACAACCTCACCAACAACACCACAACAACCTCACCAACAACACTGAAACAACCTCACCAACAACACAACAACCTCACCAACAACACCACAACCTCACCAACAACACCACAACAACCTCACCAACAACACCGAAACAACCTCACCAACATCACCACAACAACCTCACCAACAACACCACAACAACTTCATCAACAACACCGAAACAACCTCACCAACAACACCACAACAACCTCACCAACAACACCACAACAACCTCACCAACAACCTCACCAACAACACCACAACAACCTCACCAACAACACCACAACAACCTCACCAACAACACCACAACAACCTCACCAACAACACCACAACCTCACCAACAACACCACAACCTGAACAACACCACAACAACCTCACCAACAACACCACAACAACCTCACCAACAACACCACAACAACCTCACCAACAACACCACAACCTCACCAACAACACCACAACAACCTCACCAACAACACCACAACAACCTCACCAACAACACCACAACAACCTCACCAACAACACCACAACAACCTCACCACAACCACTGAAACAACCTCAACAACACCACAACAACCTCACCAACAACACCACAACCTCAACAACACCACAACAACCTCACCAACAACACCACAACAACCTCATCAACAACACCGAAACAACCTCACCAACAACACCACAACAGCCTCACCAACAACACCACAACAACCTCACCAACAACACCACAACAACCTCACCAACAACACCGAAACAACCTCACCAACAACACCACAACAACCTCATCAACAACACCACAACCTCACCAACAACACCACAACAACCTCACCAACAACACCACAACAATCTCACCAAAAACACCACAACAACCTTCAACCACAACACCACCACAACAACCTCACAACAACGCCACAACAACCTCACCAACAACAACCACAACAACCTCACCAACAACACCACAACCTCACCAACAACCTCACCAACACCACCACAACAACCTCACCAACAACACCACAACAACCTCACCAATAACACCACAACAACCTCACCAACAACACCGAAACAACCTCAACAACACCACAACCTCACCACAACACCGAAACAATCTCACCAACAACACCGAAACAACCTCACCAACAACACCATAACACCTCACCAACAACACCACAACAACCTCACCAACAACACCACAACAACCTCACCAACAACAACCACAACATCCTCACCAACAACACCGAAACAACCTCAACAACAACAACACACAACCTCACCAACAACACTGAAACAACCTCACCAACAACACCGAAACAACCTCAACAACAACACCACAACCTCACCAACAACACTGAAACAACCTCACCAACAACACCGAAACAACCTCACCAACAACACCGAAACAACCTCACCAACAACACCACAACAACCTCACCAACAACACCACAACCTCAACAACAACACTGAAACAACCTCACCAACAACACCACAACAACCTCACCAACAACACCACAACCTCACCAACAACACCACAACAATCTCACCAACAACACCACAACAACCTCACCAACAACACTGAAACAACCTCAACAACACCACAACAACCTCACCAACAACACCACAACCTCAACAACACCACAACAACCTCACCAACAACACCGAAACAACCTCACCATAACACCACAACAGCCTCACCAACAACACCACAACAACCTCACCAACAACACTGAAACAACCTCACCAAGAACACCACAACAACCTCACCAACAACACCGAAACAACCTCACCAACAACACCACAACAACCTCACCAACAACACCACAACCTCACCAACAACACCACAACAACCTCACCAACAACACCACAACAACCTCACCAACAACACCACAACAACCTCACCAACAACACCACCACAACAACCTCACCAACAACGCCACAACAACCTCACCAACAACACCACAACAACCTCACCAACAACACCACAACCTCACCAACAACCTCACCAACAACACCACAACAACCTCACCAACAACACCACAACAACCTCACCAACAACACCACAACAACCTCACCAACAACACCGAAACAACCTCAACAACACCACAACCTCACCAACAACACCGAAACAATCTCACCAACAACACCGAAACAACCTCACCAACAACACCATAACAACCTCACCAACAACACCACAACAACCTCACCAACAACACCACAACAACCTCACCAACAACACCACAACATCCTCACCAACAACACCGAAACAACCTCAACAACAACACCACAACCTCACCAACAACACTGAAACAACCTCACCAACAACACCGAAACAACCTCAACAACAACACCACAACCTCACCAACAACACTGAAACAACCTCACCAACAACACCGAAACAACCTCACCAACAACACCACAACCTCACCAACAACACCGAAACAACCTCACCAACAACACCACAACAACCTCACCAACAACACCACAACCTCAACAACAACACTGAAACAACCTCACCAACAACACCACAACAACCTCACCAACAACACCACAACCTCACCAACAACACCACAACAACGTCACCAACAACACCGAAACAACCTCACCAACAGCACCACAACCCCAACAACAACACCAATACAATCAGAATATTTTTTTATTCTGCAGCATACCGTGTCAACCAATATGGTTTACCCCGTATTCTTGTGCGTGTAAATTGAGTTTTCAGGTCCGCACGGCGTTCAGCCGGTTCAATACGGTCTGTTTGTGCTTCTCCCTTGTGATGGGACTTTGTAGGATGAACGTCAAGATTTATGAGGTCTGAATCGGTCTGTAATAAGGTTGGGCACTGGTAATGGAATGCTGCAGGAGGAATCCGATGAGCTGTAAAGTGTTTTTTTTCCCCGCGGGTGTCCAGTTAGGGGGCATGGGGTCAGAACGTCAGAGCAACACCCGGTGCAAAAAAACGTTATAGGAGTAGCAAGTTATAGGAAAGGTTAATAAATCACTTTAAAGTATTCAAATAAAACTAAACTTTTCTCGCCAGGTAAAGCCCACTGAGCCATAAACTTTCTTTTCAGACGCGACCTGGCCACAAGTGATAGCTCAACAAATTGGCATATCGTGTGGAAATCTATACCGGCTAAATAATCTAAATGATCTCAATGCATGTTTCGAAATGTGGAGGGAAAAAACCGGAGGACCCGGAGAAAAAAATGCACGTGACCACGGGGAGAGAGACACGCAAACTCCAAACAACACAACTCAAATACGTACCTCAATAACACGTCACCTTAAAAAGGTCAAATTTTGAATAGGCGACGTTTTGGGTGATTACCCTTAACGGCACATAGAGGCCACTCGACCTCTTTGGCTTCTATGTGCTCTTGAAGAAGGGCCATTGCCTGAAACGTTGCTTATTGTATACTGTAAATGTTATTTTCCTCCTGCATCTAGCCTGGCACAGCAGTCATCCCACAGCACCTGGATCTGTCCCGTGGCTTCCTGTTGGCTATCTGCCGACACTTCACGTGCCCTCAAAGTGCACATAGCATGGCACAAGCAAGCACCGTGGTGACATCACAACCACTTAGTGGTGAATGTTGTTTGTGTGACGTTTATGGACGCTCACTAACGGCACTTGCCCCAGCAATCTGTTAAAAGCTATATGGGGGATCATTGTCTTTGTAAGTCATCTCAGCCAGTTATCCCGGTTTTGTCCCTTGACCTGCCAGCGAGCCTCTTGACATTTTACATTGCCTCAAACTGCCCCTAGCCTGGCACAAGAGCGGCGAATGACATCTGTCGCATACGTAAGTAGAGAGCAGTGTGTGGTTAGCGTTTCCGTGTTGTGATCCTGGTAATTGGGGTGCTGTGTGTGTATTGTATTGAGAGCGGTAGTGCAACGGTTAGCGTGCTGTACTATGCACTCGACGACCCGAGTTCGATTCCCGCTAAAGGTCAACACCAGAGACGATTATCTGAACCGGTCCTGGGCTTCCCTGAGCTTGACTCGGCCTCAATTGAGTACCTGGTGCGGTGTGTAAACATCGCCACTGGCGAGACAAAGGCAGCTGGGGTGTGGCGTTGGCCACCTCCCCTCGTGCGCCTGCCGGCCTTCAGAGGTGCTCGCTAACGGCACTTGCCCCAGCAGTCTGTTAAGGCTATATTGTGGGATCTTTGTCTGTGTGTAGGGACCGTGAGAGGAACACAGGTGTGATCTCGTGTACCGTTTGCCTGGAGGAATTTCAGACGCCCATCACGTGTATCCTCTTGAGGTCACACCTACACGTGCCGTACAAGGACACTCGTACGGACACAGATTCTCACAGACGGACCCACACACACAGACTCTTACGTAGCCACTCCTACAAACACACCCTTTCACCCAGACTCGGGCACACACACAAGAACACATTCGCATGCTTACACGCACTCTCGCACACCTGTACACTTTCAGACACGCAAACAATACAGACACGCACTTTCACATAAACACACTTGTACACGTACACTATATACACACATTCTTATATACAAACACACGTCTACACATGCTGTACCACACGTTGACACTCCACCATACCCAACTATTGTTAGGGTTGGGGCTGCCCGCAGTCACGTGTGTGTGGTTGAGAGACTTGCTGACGGATACGCATACCCACACGAGTGTTTGTGAGAGCATCTTCTCCGCCACAGTTAGGCGCCCTGCCTTCTCTTTGCTTGCGAAACGTGGAGCCCTTTTGAACATCTGTGCCGGTTTGAAACATTAAAGCTCGCCTGCCTGCGATACATCCTGGGTTTAACCCAGACCGCATTGCGTGAGGAGCACGGTTCCATCAGTGAGCTCCGCCGGCAGGCGAGGTTGCGTTGGCTGGGTTATTTAGCTCGCGTGCCCAGCCACTGCATGCCCAAGCAGTTTCTGTTTGGCTGGATAGAGAGGGGGCTAAGCGGGGGCCGCACAGGCTTGAGAAGAGATGGGACTGTTGTGTGAGTGAGTGGGTGAGTAAGAGGCATGGGCGTGTGAAGAGGTGGAGCTGATGTAGTACAGAAGGATGTGGAGCTGAGTGAACTTGCCAATGACCGGTACCAGCGGTGTCACAATCGGCCTCTGTGGAGGAGGCTCGTGAAGGACGCTGCTACTGGGCAGTTGGAGGCAGTCGCCCTCCAACAACAACGGAGGGCGGAGGAGCGACGCTCACAACAACGAGCGGAGCGCGAGATACCAAAAACACAGCAAGCTGGCGTAGTGGAGAGCACAGCTGGTGCATCTGCCAGTCATCTCAGTCAACCCATGGCAACTGGGTCTGGTCCGTGACCTCCTGCCAGCAGTGAGCCATTGAAACCTTACGTGGCCTCAAAGTACACCTGGCCTGGCACAATCGCCGTGGTGAATGGAGGTTGCCGCTGCGAGCGTGTGATGTGCCCGTAAGGGTTTTTCTTGGTTAGATCACGTGAATATAAATGTGTCGTGAAACCCGCCACCATCCGACGCGGCCAATTAGTAAGGTTTGTAGAGTACTCGTGTGACGTTTCGCTGGATTACAATAACCGGCCTCGGCAGGTGACGACCACAGTTATGGAGAAAGCCTCCCCCCCCCCCCCCCCCCCCGTTTTGGTTTCAAATAGCGGTGATGTGCGTGAGAGAGAGGCGGTGAGACGGGCTGCCGTGCCGATGAGACGTGCTGACGAGATGTGAAGCACGCAAGTCCTCCGCTTCGCCCCTTGACCCTGCGCTCAGACCTCTCGGAAGCCGTGGACGTTTACAGCGATTGGATAGACGCCTGCGAGGCGGCCAACCAATAGCGGCAGCGCGGCTTTCCTGACGGCTGCGCCACACTGCCGACCAACAGGGGGAGCCCAGAGTTCAAGAACGGAGGTGTTGCTGGAGGATTCTGGTGGGGGGGGAAGGGGGTGGGGGGGGTGGGTGGGGGGGGACGTGGGTGGGGGGGGTCCCGGTCGTGGCGGTGACGCGCGGTTAACGTTGCGCAGTACGTCAGAACCGCCGTTGCCGGGCGATAACCGCAACGCTGACCTCAACTGTGATCGTTGAATTGAGGCTGCCGCGATTGAATCTTGATATACTTGATTGCGCCACGTTTGTGTTTTTTTTAATGACTAGAAATGCGTTCGATGTCTTGCGAAAGTTTAATAAACGGCGGAGTTTCACTGACGGACGGTCGACAAACCCCCTTCTGGGGGGGGTTTCAGCGGCGCTCGGGCTCGAGAGTGACAACCAGGCAGCGGCGAGTGACACGGGGAGAGGGATGGGGTTATGGTAATTGCGAGTCCATTCTGTAATTGGTGCTTTTTTACACTTTCCAACTATTGTTGAAAGCATTTAGTCGTGGGCTCCGTCCGTCTGTAGCAGGGTGGGGGGGGGGGGCATCTTGGTAACTCTCCTAGACATGATCCGATGTGAATGCAAATTGTTTTAGCCTAATGACGTCTTGCTATCAAGAACGGCGCCCGAGAGAGAACTGGCCAAATTGATGATAGAATTGGCCAAAGCCAGGCGATAAGAAGCCAGGGACGAGACTTTCGGGCCACGGTGATTACGTGGGGCGGCTTGCTCGCGACGACGATGCGTGAAGTCGTGCGGGGTTCATAAGGCCTTGCCACTGTCGCCAATTAAAGACTTTGGAGACCGGACGAGTTCAAAAGCGTCGTGGAGTCTATGCGTATGCATTGCGGGTCTTGTCTCGTCATCACACAGCATACACATTGACACCACCGCAGTGTACCACCCCACCTCGCTGAGCACATCGCCTCACAGTGCGCCACCACACAGCACAACACCCCACAACACACCTAGCACATCACCCCCCCCCCCCCCCACACTGCGCACCACACCAGCACGTCATCCCACCACAGTGCGCTACCACAGTGCACACCACCACGCCAGTACATCACCCCACCACGCATCACCCCACCACACACACAGCTCACCACCACGCATCACCCCACCACACACACAGCACACCACCACGCCAGTACATCACCCCACCACGCATCACCCCACCACACACAGCACACAGCACACCACCACGCCAGTACATCACCCCACCACGCATCACCCCACCACACACAGCACACCACCACGCCAGTACATCACCCCACCACACACAGAGCTCACCACCACGCAGCACCCCACCACGCCAGTACATCACCCCACCACGCCAGTACATCACACCACCACGCATCACCCCATCACACACAGTGCACCCCACCACGCATCACCCCACCATGCATCACCCCACCACACAGCTCACCACCACACACAGTGCACCCAACCACACAGAGCTCACCACCACGCATCACCCCACCACACACAGAGCTCACCACCACGCAGCACGTGTTTTCCCGTTGCTTTATCTTCGTTATAAAAGCGTCCGTACCGCCAACTCCACCGTGGCGTGACACAGGGGCAGTGCGGCGCAACCAACACGCATTACTAATAAATAAAGTATCAATAAATAAGGCATCTTTGATATAAAACCATGTGCAGTGCAATGTATAAAATTATTCAAGTTTCAGGTAGGGCCGCCGTTGTCCCTAAATGGTTGTAAACAGAAGGGTGAGCGGGGTGGGGGGTGTAGGGTGGCAGAGGGGAGAGGAGGGTGGGAGCCGGGGGAGGATGGGAGAGTGGGGGGAGGGAGAAAGAGTGGGAGTCGGGGGGGGGGGAGAGACGGGAGTTGGCTAGGATGCATCTCATATCCTGGCAGCTGGTTGGGCGGTTGAACCTCACGTCCTGCGGTGATTTTTCTTTCCTGATCCGAGGCGCGCCCTGACGCACGTGCTCACCCGGGTACCACATCTCGTGCGAGGGTGTGCGCAAGTCCCTGTCTTGCCTTGCATAGCGAGCTGGGATCAGCGCTGTTAGCGGGCGCCTCTTGCGGGTGGTGTGGGACAACACCTTCGCTGCTTCCCCACCACTCAAGTTCACCTCGCCGCCGAGTGCTCATTTTGTTGGTTTAGGCCGAGTGGACTTTGGAGAAGGCCACGGCTTGAGTTCAGAGAGACGACACCCCCGCTGGGCCCCACCCCCCCCCCCCCCCCCCCCGAATGTGAAAACGGTCGCTTGCTTCCAAACACAAGCGGTCGCTCTCCGGGGGACATCCCCTTGCGCAGGGTCCAGGCGAGCGAACACGTCGAACGCCATTGCCACCAGCGCACGTAGCCCGACATGCTAATCGGAGGTGCGAAGTGAGCGGGGTAGATGGCCCGGAGGAGTTTGGCTTCCCTAGATTATCCTTTCGGGCCCCGTGAGCCGGGTGGGTGACGTGGGCGTGTCGGAGGGACCAGGGATGCTGAAGGGGTGCACGGAGTTGGGTCGGCGGATGCATTTCACCAGACAGAGGCTCAGGCTCAGGCCCGTGCCGAAGCCGAGCAGGGCCGCCCCAGCAACCAGCCCGTACACCCAGCCCATGCCTGTGAGACCACACGGACACACAGGGACATTAACACACGGACACAGGGATACGCACAGACATAGCCAGGCATAAGGGTCCACAACAGAGACTCGTAGAGGCAACAGGGATACACACAGACACGTGCACACACAAAGACATTGGGACATGTACACACGCCAGACACAACACGCGGACACGGACACACACCTGCAAACATTACTAATAAATGAGGCATTCAGGTAGTTATCTAGACCCAATGCTCTATGTTCCTGAGTTTAAATGCCAGTAAGGGTCCACATGACCCAATCTCTACATGGTCAGTGTCGATTTCATGATGACATCACGTTGGTATGGTGTTGATGTTGGCCGTGTGTTGACAGTGCATTAGCTGGTTGATGTCACGTCGATGCTCCGCTGGGTTTTTTGTTCGTGTTTATCTAAATTTAGATTTATAGAGAGCGGTCTTAGCTGAACTCAAGGCGCTCTGTAACACAGTTTAAAAAGTGGGAAACAACATCGGTCGATACGGATGGCAGGGGCAACGCTCGGACCGAGGAATGAGTGACCGTAGCAGGAGGGCACGTGCGGGGTCACGGAAGGGCCATAGGGGAGGGAGGGGACGGAGTGGAGGGGTGTCGTGTCGGCATTGCTCTCATGTCGTCTCAACTCGTCTAGATTTATATGGCGGCTTATTCCAAGGCGCTATTTAAAACTATTACAAAATTGTACGTAAGATGATGGTGGTTGAGATGAAGAGTGGGGTTGTTAAAAGTGGTGGTGTGTAGTTAGGATGACCGGAGAATGGGCGGGAGTGGTTAAGGAAGGGTTGGGGTAGTGATAGAGCTTGGGGTAGTGGTAGGGGTTGGGGTAGTGGTAGGGGTTGGGGTAGTGATAGGGGTAGTGATAGGGGTTGGGGTAGTGATAGGGGCTGGGGTAGTGGTAGGGGTAGTGATAGGGGCTGGGGTAGTGATAGGGGTTGGGGTAGTGATAGGGGTTGGGGTAGTGGTAGGGGTTGGGGTAGTGGTAGGGGTTGGGGTAGTGATAGGGGTTGGGGTAGTGATAGGGGTAGTGATAGGGGTAGTGGTAGGGGTTGGGGTAGTGATAGGGGTTGGGGTAGTAATAGGGGTAGTGGTAGTGATAGGGGTAGTGGTAGGGGTTGGGGTAGTGATAGGGGTAGTGGTAGGGGTTGGGGTAGTGATAGGGGTAGTGATAGTGGTAGGGGTTGGGGTAGTGATAGGGGTAGTGATAGTGGTAGGGGTTGGGGTAGTGGTAGGGGTAGTGGTAGGGGTAGTGATAGTGGTAGGGGTTGGGGTAGTGGTAGGGGTAGTGATAGTGGTAGGGGTTGGGGTAGTGGTAGGGGTAGTCCTTGCCGCGCGTGCCACGAGGTACCCCCCCTCACCCGTGTCCGCCCGTGCCTCCCAGCGGGCGTCGCCGCACTCCGTGTGGCGGGGCGCCTCGGTGCGCGCCTCTCTGACCGCCGCCGCCGTCGTCGGTTCCACCTCCTCGTCGCTGTCGCCCAGCGTGGTGGCGCACACCACGCCGCTGGTGGTCCCCCAGCGGGACCACGCGTCCACCCAGGCCTGCGCGTGCACGCAGTAGCTCGTGCCGGCCTCCAGACCCTCCAGCAGCACCGTGCGCTTGTCGCCCGCCACCGTGAGCGCCTCCTGGTGGCGCGCACAAAGACCCCCCCCCACCGTTAGTCTCCCGAGCGGAGGCACCAGGTGCTCGTTTGAGGCCGCGTCTATGCAAGGGGAGGCCCGGGACGGGTTCATATAATCGTCGCCGGCGTTGGCGGTGAGCGGGAACCGATCTCGGGTCGCTGGGTTCGTAGCCCAATGCGCTAACCATCACGCTGCCGCTCCCCATGCAAACAAGAGGAAACACGACACCCGGCAACGATGCCAATGTTCCATCGTTTCACCCGCCCCCGTGATTCCACCCGATCTCGCACTCGCCAACTGTTCAGACATCTCGCCCATCCACCCACGCTCCTCCCTAATAACTCGCCCACACACCGACTCTCCGATCATCAGGCCCGTTCACTCTGCCACCCTATACGCCACCCATTCCTAGACCCGCTTGCCAAATATCTCTCCCAATGATTACACGCCTGTTTAGACTACTCACGTGTTCATTTTCGATGGCGCTCTCTCACTCTCTTAACAATCTCCCACCCACACTCTCGTCAACTTTCCTACCCACTCTGCCACCAACTTTCTCACCCACTCTCCCGCCAGTACTCCCATTCAATCTCCCACTCGCCATCCTATCCAAATCTCCCGTCATCACACCCACCAACTCCCCCCCCCCCCCCGTCTCTCCCCACCACCGCCGCCGTCTCCGCGGTGCGGGCCGCACCTCTGCTGAGCTGCCGTCCCTCCAGTAGATGAAGAGGTAGATGAGGTCGGGCAAGGCGCCGCTGAGCGGCACGAGGTCACCGCTCGCGTCCCGCAGCGGAGTGAGCGGCTCCGTAACCAGCAGCTCCACGCTGGCGTTACCACCCAGCGCCGACAGAGACACGGCGCTCAGCAGCGCTGCGCGGGCAGAGACACGGATGGAGGTGAGCGGACGCGCTGAGAGACGCGGACGCACACGGGCAGAGATGCGGACAGAGGTGCGGACACGCACGCGCAGAGACGCACGCGCAGACGGGCACGAACGCACATGCGTGTACAGAGACGGATGTAGCTGTCGGAAAACGACCACCGCCGCCAACATTTTCATTCAAACTAAAAATCGCAAAATTGACTCCCGTGGCGCCAACAATTACTCGGCACCAACAACAGCTGCTGCTGCTGTTCGCCACGACGTGCCGGCGACGTCACCACGGCGTTCGTGTAAGGCTAGGTGCACTTTGAGGCTATCAGGTGAAGTGTCGAAGTCTCGCTAGCAGGAGGTCCCGGGACAGACCCAGGTGCCATGGATTGACTGACTGGGATGAGTGGTGCCACTACAAAGACAAAGATCCCCCGTATTGTCTTGACAGACTGTTGGGGCAAGTGCTGTTCACGAGCACCTATGAAGGCCGGGCACGGCACATGAGCAGGTGGGTGGCCAACACCACGCCCGGCTGCCTTAGTCTCCCTAGTGGCGATGTTTACACACTGCACCAGGTACTCATTTGAGGCTGAGTCGACCTAGGGGAGGCCCGGGACCGGTTTAGATAATCGTCACTTGGTGTTGGCCGTGAGCGGGAATCGCACTCGGGTCTCTGCCGGGTTCAGCGAGCAGCGCGCTAACCGCTGCACCACCGCTCCCCCACCACCACTGCCTGTCACAAGCACGACCACCAACAGCTCTGACTGCCTTTCACCACGAGGTGGTGGTGACATCACTCCTCAGAGTGAGCAGCATTTACCATGAAACGTCTGGGAAGTCCTTGCCTATCGATGCCAAGCAGTTCAGCAGCACTGGTTCAGGCGAGCCTGGCTCTTCTGATGAGGCACTGAATGCCGAAATCCGCCGAGCGTTCACTTCTGATGAACCAATGCTGCTCAAGTTAGGCACCGCCAGGAGGCCGTGTGGCTGACGAGATGTACAACAAATACAACTTTTTATTTTGTACGTGGACGGATGTGAAGGAGGCGTATTGTCTACAAACACTCATTCTTTGGCTCAAAATATTTTATTATATAGGGGACTGCAGAGCTCGGGCGATTGCTGGTAGCGGTGGCTCGCCACTGCCTGGTGGCTCGCCGCTGCCTGGTGGCTCGCCACTGCCTGGTGGCTCGCCGCTGCCTGGTGGCTCGCCGCTGCCTGGTAGCTCGCCAGCTGCCTGGTGGCTCGCGCTGCTGGGCTCGCCACTGCCTGGTAGCTCACGGTCCGTGGCTCCTCGGCGATTGTGAGAGGTGCAATGTATCCTTGATATTTATATTACTTAACAACGCTGTTGATAATTTAATAACAGCAATGACCAGATCGTCGACACCACCAGCGGCAGTGCGCGTGTACGTCTCTCGTGCGTGCGTGCGTGCGGGGGGGGGGAGCGGTGGTGCAGCGGTGAGCGAGCTGCTCTATGAACCCGGCAGATACCCGAGTTCGATTCCCGCTCACGGCCAATGCCAGTGGCGATTATTTGAACCGGTCCCAGGCCTTCGCTAGGTCGACTCGGCCTCAAACGAGTGCCTGGTGCGGTGTGTGAATATCACCACTGGGAGAGACAAAGGCAGCTGCGGTGGTCCTGACCACCCACCCCTTCGTGTGCCTTGCAGGCATTCGTAGGTGCTCGCTAACGGCGCTCACCCCAACAGTCTGTTAAGGCTATACCGGGGGGATTGTCTTTGTGTGAAATTGTCGTGGGTGGGTAGGCCTGTAAGTATGCATGTATGTATATAGGACATATATTGATCTCCTTTCGCACCGTACGTAGCCCAACCGCGCTACGTAGCCACGATTCGCTACGTATGATGCGAGAGCAGTTCAACATACGCGCATACATAACCGGAGGTGCTGGGGACGGGGGTAAGACAACAAACGTACTGTCGCGCGAGGGCATGAATTCGGCGCTGTATGCCCACTGGGTCCCCGAGGGCGCTTGCGGAGAAGGGGCCCCCGGCAGGAGGGCCGTCGGCGGGGGGTCGAGCGCCACGCGGGCGTGGTAGGCGAGCTCCGGGTCGACGAGGGGGTCACTGACGTCGCACTCGGTGCGCGGCGTCGACGCGCAGCCGGGGATGTCTCTCCACACCTCCCAGCCCTCACTGTGTCACGCACGCACGGATATATACGGGTAAGAAGGACGAGTTATAGACAAGGATCAACCCGTGTAGCCTGTGACTAGACTGTTGGGGCGAGTGCTGTTCAGCGAGTACCTACGAAGGCCAGCACGGCACACGAGGTCGGTCAACACCGCGATGTGCCGTACAAGGGACAGCTGCCGCTGGGGGTGCCCCCTTTCAAATGCGTGTTAAGTTTAGATGTGAAGCGCGCTCACCCCACCCGTTGGGACAGGTGGGGCGTGAACTCCTGCACAACGCGCCAGGGTTACGGTGCGACCAGCGACACGTGCTTATTTTTGGCTGAGTGGATCCGACGGGAGACCCGACAACTGGTTCAGGCGATCGCCGCCGATGCCAGCTGTGAGCAGGATACTGAGTTGGCTGGCTTCATAATTGAGGCTTTTGGGTTAGATCGCGCAAATATAAATGTGTCGTCAAGCCCACCACCACCCGACACAGCCAGTCACGTAAACAAACGTGCAGGTAACGTGACAAACCTTACTAACTGCGATAAAACCCAAAAACCTGTGTTACGGATAATATTGGTCGCAAAAGCCCTACTACTACTACTACATGTTAAACTGGCTGGCTTCGTAGCTTAGTGAGTGAACCTCTACACTACAGCTGCCCATACATATACTGTGCAGAAAAAAAACCCCATACTTTATACAACCAAGGGCAAACGTCACACGTACGGCCCCGTGCAGCCGGTTGGGGCGAGCGCTTGTAAGTGAACATCCCTCGCGGCCCGCGGCCACGCGTCTTGAATAATGTGGGCGAGATGGACTCGCTGGGGGTGTGTGCGGAGGTGGTGCTGCTGGTGGTGGTGGGGGGTGTGACACTGAGTCACCGAGCGCTTGGATATTTCAGAACGCATTCCGGCGAGTCGCTGGGTAGCTTGACGTTTCGTCATCGAGTCAAAAGCAAGCAAGAGGCTCATCGCGGGTGGGCGTCACAGACGGCTTTGACAAAGCGCCGGCTCTCTGATTGTGACCGTGAGAGTCTCAATGGCGGTGACAAGAGCGCTGGGAGTTGGTGCGTGCCCTGAATTCCTGTGTTGTTGTGCCGATGGGGTCACGTGGACTGCTAATGAGTTGCGTGCATTTTCCTCGATTACGCCGATTGTGTAGGAAAGTACGCGGGTCATCGGACCACAAAGACAAAGATTCCCACCCCGTATAGCCTTAACAGACTGTTAGGGCAAGTGCTGTTAGCTAGCAGCACTTATGAAGGCCGGCACGGAACACGAGGGGGTGGGTGACCAGCATCATGCCCGCCCGCCTTTGTCTCCCCAATGGCGATGTTTTACACACCGCACCAGGTACTCGTTTGAGGCTGAGTCGACCTAGGAGAGGCCCAGGACCCGTTCAAATAATCGTCACTGGGTGTTGGCCGTGAGTGGGAATCGAACTTGGGTAGCCCGGTTCGTAACGCAGCACGCTAATCGCTACACTACCGTTCCCCTTTAGAACACACACACACACCCCACGTGAGTGACACAGACTGCCAATATGCAGTGAACCTGCTTATATGTGTTGTTAGTGGAGAGGCAACTACATGCCTGTCATCAAGGCCTTGGCTATTCGTATTGACGTGCACACGCGTCTATTGCTGCGTGTGGGTGTGGGGAGCGGTGGCGCATTGGTTAACGCGCTGCGCTACGAACCCGGCGACCCGAGTTCGATTGCCCGGCCCAACATTGGTGCCGAATATATCTGAAGCGAATGTCCTGGGCCTCCCCTATGTCGACTCGGCCAGAAAAATAAAAAAGATAGTTACCAAGCTGCGGTACGTGTGAAACATCATCACTGGGGAGACAAAGGCAGCCGGGTACGGGGTTCTGGCCACAACAGCTCATCAGCCCTTAATAGGCGCTCGCTAACAGCGCTCGCCCAAACGTCCTGTGAATGTTTTAGGGTTGGGGGTATTATATAGCAACTTAACACCCGCCGCTCACTGCTAAGTGGCGAGCGCCAGGCTAGGTGCACTTTGAGGCCATCGCGTGAAGTGTCGAAGGCCCGCTGGCAGGAGGTCACGGAACAGACCCTGCAGGTGGCCACGGGTTGACTGACTGAGACGACTGGCAGATAGAAGCGTGGACCGTGCCCCCCCCCCCACCACCACTGTGCCGACTCTCTGCGTTTTTACCCCCCCCCCCCCCCGGGCTCTCCCCGCTCGTTGTCGTGAGCAGTCGCTCCTCTGACCCCTCGCGATTTCAGTTGCTGCTGCCGGAGGGCGACCGACCACCTCCCAACCTCCCCAGTTCAGTTCGCAGTTGAGTTTCGGTTTTATTTTGAAGTACCCTGTGAGCCACGAATCTCTTAAGTTGGGTTTTTATCAATAACAAAAAAAAAACACGCCATTTCCGTGACAGACGTAACAGATAAAAAACATGAATAATACAGTTGAATTTTTTTTCTCCCAAAAAAGTTACGAAATTATCTAATTTTAAATGTAAAATTAATATTTAAAAAGTTTTGAGCTAAGTAAGGAATACAAATAAAAGCGCAAGGATTAGTCGTAAAAAGTACCAGCGGTAAAAAAACACAAATATCTCATAAGTAGCAGCTGCATCATCAGCTGCATCATCAGCTGCATCAGCAACAGCGGTGTCCTTTCGCGGCTCCCACTCACCCCAGGACCTGCACGCTGTAGCGTGGCGTCAGAGCGGACCCCGCGAGACGCGGCACCACCAGCGCCGGGTCCCAGCTCACCACGTGCTTGAGGTTGAGGGACGAGAAGCGCACGGAGCGAGGCACCGTCGGACCCGGCTCGCCTGCAGGATAACCACAGAGTCACGCGCCCGGGTTAACCGTGCCAGACTGCGTAACCACGCATGGAGTTTCAGTTTTCATGTATTAGGTATAACCTTGTGAGCCATGCGGCTCTTGACTCGGGTGCAAACGCAACACAACAAAAACATGAACGAGAAAACATCTTAAAGTGACCACGCAACAGAAAAGTCCTGAAAAAAACAGCAAAAGTCTTCCAGAAAAAAAAAACACCGCATTTCAACGCTGTGCGCAAAAATCCCAACAACCGCACTTAGCCCACTTTAATCACAGCCATAACCACGCACGGGATTAAACACACCGTCCCTCGTAACTACGCGCGGAGTGAAACAATAACAACCACACTGACCGCTTTAGCCGCGCCAGAATTTAAGACATTAACCACACTTTTAACCACAACAGTAGCCTCACTAACTACTTTAACCATAACGACACCTGTGCCTACAATGACCGAAACAACCACACTCACTGCGCGCATATCCCGTTAACCGCACTGGCTTACTGACTCACTGCATAGACGACCGTCAACAATGGCATTGAATTCGCCATGCTAACCTGTTCATGGTCCATCACCACTCCCCGCCATCATCACCATGACTCACACCACAATCAGCGCAATCACTATCACTGTCAGCACCATTTCCCCTAACCACCGTAACCATCAAACCTTCACCACCATCACCACTACAATCACCATGACCCCTCACCACCATCAACCCCATCACTATCACCCTCACAACCATCATCCCCATCACTTCTCATCACCATCACCCTAATCACCCATCACTGTCAGCACAATTCCCCCTTACCACCGTGACCGTCAGACCTTCACCACCATCACCACAATCACCATGACCCTTCATCACTATCACTCCTCACCACCATCACCTCATCACCACTCACCTCCAGCGAGTCCTAGCAGCGCCAGTAGCATCAGAGTCGATGGCGCCCAGTCACACATGGTCCCCCACACGTGTCCAGGCCACCCCCTTCGTCGAGATTATTGAATCAGAACACAGATCCCAAGTTCCCCTCTTAGACTGATATCAGCCTATCAGAACACAAAACCAAAAATCCCAGGTCTCCTAGCCTATCAGAACACCGACCTCAGGTTCCACTCTTAACACTGTGATCAGCCTGTAATGAACACTTCAGAACACAAAATCCCAGGTCTCCTAGCCTATCAGAACACCGATCTCAGGTTCCACCCTTAAGACTGTGATCAGCCTGCAATGAGCACTTCAGAACACAAAACACAAAATCCCAGGTCTCCTAGCCTATCAGAACACGGAATCCCAAGTCCCCGTCTTCAGCCTGCAATGAGAAACTTCAGCCGTCGGTTCTGCGCCTGCCTCGCGCGCTCTCTGTGGGGCGCTCCTTGCGGCGAGCGCGGCTATTTAACCAGGTGCGCGGGGTGGGGGCGGGGCCAAGACGGAGAGGGGGGGGAAGATGGAAAGGGGGCGGGGCAAGGGTGAGAGGTGGGCGGGGACTTAAAAGTTTACCAATTTTTTTCAGAATCAGAATCTTATGTATTTATAACTCATTCATGAATTACATTTATAATTTGAGTTTAAAAAAACTCGCCCCCCCCCCCCCACTAAATAGGGCGTCGCAATACTCTACAGTCTTAAGTTAAATGAAGGTAGTCCTACCTAAATATCAAAACACGTCAAAATAACTGCAGGAATCCGATGAGCTATAAAGCTCTTTTTCACAGATGCCTAGTCGGGGCACGGGGTAAGAACGTTACAACAACAAACAGTACAACAACAACATGATAGTAGTGTAAAGTACAAAAAAGGTAAACATCACCCAAACACGTACAAATAAAACTAAACCATCCTACCAGGCGAAGTCCACTGAGGAGTTAACTTATTTTTATCAGAAGCAACCTGGCTTGTAATTTAGATATTTATAGCAGCAAACGAAACTAAATAATCTCAATGCATGTTTCAGTAACACCGTGGCCTTCAAACAGGGAAACTATAGAGATATATCAATTAGTTGAAGGTTTCAAGTTGATGTTGTGTGGTTAACCAGGCGAGAATTTAAAGGACCAAGATTATAGAATCTCATTGCTACCTTGCAAAAAGGTGTGTGTCTATTTTGGTCTTTGAACATCTTAACACCTGTTTTATTGGCGGAAAAGGGATACAAATTAACGTATTATTTTTCATACCATAGTTTGACAGTTTCTGTTGGGTTAGATGGCGTGAAATCAAATGTTGTTACGTCGTTAAACCAGGCCAAGCCACCCGACACAGCCGATTAGTTAAGGCTGTGTCAGGTAAACAACACACAAACCCACGTGTGCCAATTCGTTGCTAGCTCAGCAACACACCGCTTGTGTGCTGGAAGAGATACCCTTTGGTCCTTCGGTGAAGTCTTTTACCCTTTCTACCTACTACGTGACGACTTTACCGGAAGAACCAAAGAGTATGGATTCCTGCAGTCGCGAAAGCTTCAAATCAGGAGATTGTTGGAAGAGCGTCAACCCACAGCGAGCTTGAATGCCCCGTGTTGAGGGGGCGGGGCGGGGCGGGGGGGGGGGGCGGGGTGGGGGGCGGGGCGTGATGGCACGAGACTGCCCCCTCCCCGCCTCCTTCACTTGACCCCCCCCCCGCCACGTTGGGGGTGGATGGGGGGGGGTGATGACGCCATAGGGCGACTGAACGCCCCGGAATGCATTTATATGGAGCCCTCGTTGACGTTGCGATCAACTTTAATTGACGCGGCTTTCTCGCAGCTGCGGTGACGGAAGTTCATTGACGACGATGACGATCGTGACCCCCACAGAGCCCCCCCCTCTCGCCCCATTGTTGAGTGACGACTTGTGAGGTCGATGGCTCTGCTGATGAGCGTTGATGTCACAATTGATGTTCGTTCTGTACGGTGGTGGTGATGGTGGTGATGATGGTGATGGTGGTGGTGCCGACCACCATCACCATCATCGACTCAGCCTCAAATAAGCACCTTACCTGGTGCGGTGTGTAGTAAACATCGCCACTGGGGAGACAAAGGCGGCCGGGCGTGGTGCTGGCCACCCACCCCTTCGTGTGCCATGCCGGCCTTCATAGGTGCTACTCGCGAACAGCACTTGCCCCTACAGTCTGTTACAGGCTACACGGGGGATATTTGTCTTTGGTGCTGATGGCTGTGGCGTTAATCGTGGTGCTGTTGCTTGCTGCAACAACTTTAGTTGCTACTTCTGCTGATACTGCCGCTGCTGCTCACGATGAGCGATGCTGATGACGTTTACGAGGAACGGGGAATGCGTTGCGAGCGGACGAGATCTGGCTCAGAGCGAAGGGGAGTAAAAGGATGTTTGATGTGGATGTTGATTTAGTGGTGGTTCATTTGCGATGACTCGGCGGTGCTCGGCACGAGGCGCGGTCAGGTGACGCAAACCATGAACGGGGCCAGCCTGCCCCTCGACCTCAACCCTAGCCCGAACCCTGGCCTCTAACCCCTAATTCTAGCCATAACTCTAGCCCCTAACTATAACCCCTAACCCCTAATTATAGCCATAATTATAGCCCCTAAACCCTAATTCTAGCCATAACTCTAGCCCCTAACTATAGCCCCTAACCGCAAATTCTAGCCATAACTCTAGCCCCTAACTATAGCCCCTAACCCCTAATTCTAGCCATAACTCTAGCCCCTAACTATAGCCCCTAACCCCGGCCTCTAACCCCTGATTGTATCCCTAACCCTGGCCTCTAACCCCTAATTCTAGCCATAACTCCAGCCCCTAACTATAGCCCCTAACCCCTAATTCTAGCCATAACTCTAGCCCCTAACTATAGCCCCTAACCCCGGCCTCTAACCCCTGATAGTATCCCTAACCCTAGCCCTTAACTCTAGCTCTAACTCCGAATTATGCTCCATAACTTGAGCCCCTAACTCTAGCCCCTAACTCAGTGCTGACGCTTTTAGCACAGGCTGAGTTGAATTTATTTAACTATCTGAGGACTCAAGAGATCACGAATGGTTTAAATGCAAGAGCGACTGACCTGAGTTACGAACATAGCAAAAAAAAACCCAACAATAACAAACACAAGAACTACACTGAAGCAAACGGAAATCCGAGCAAAAGCAACTCAGCAGAAATCGGATGACGTCTTTAACAACAACGCACCGATACCAACAACCTCCATTCGCCACTAAGGGATGGTGACGTCACCACGACATCTGTGCCAGGCCAGGTGCACTTTGAGGCTATCACGTGAAGTGTCGAAGGCTCGCTGCTGACAGGAGGAGGTCACGGAACAAACCCAGCAGGTGCCATGGGTTGGCTGACTGAGATGACCAGTTGATGCACACCAGCTGTGCCCCCCACTGTGCCAACTTGCTGTAGTTTAGCTGCCCGGCTCTCCGCTCGTTGTTGTGAGCGTCATTCACGAGCCTCCTCCATAGAGGCCGATCTTGACACCGCTGGTACCAGTCATTGGCAAGTCCACTCAGCTCCACATCCTCCCGTACCGTATCAGTCCAACTCTTCTCCAGCCCATGTCGTGCCCGTTTAACCCCCTCTATGTGGCGAAACAGAAGCTGCTTGAACATGCAGTGGCTGGGCATACGGGCTACATGACCCAGCCAATGCAGCCTTGCCTGCCAGAGGAGCTCACCGATGGGACTTTGTCCAGATCTTTCAAGGATTTGTGAGCTCCTCACACAATCCAGCCAGGTTAAACCCAGGATGGATCGTAGGCATGTCAGCATGAATGTTTCTAACCGGCGCAGATGTTCCATTCGAGGGGTCCACGTTTCACAAGCATAAAGAAGGGAGGGCATGAGTGCGGCAGAGAAGACCCGAAGCTTCGTGCGGAGTGACAGACCAAGTAGCTTCCACGTAGAATTGAGCAGCCGATGAAAACAAAATGCTGCCCGACTGATTCGGAGCAAGACCTCTGTTGACAAACCGGAGCTGGTCTTAAGCACAGTGCCCAGGCATGGGAAACTCTCCACTCGCTCTACAACTGCTCCACCACCAATGGGGAGCTGAGGGTGGAGTGTTTGGTGGCACAAAATCCCCAAGCAGGTGCTTAGTTTTCGTGGGGCTCATGGTAAGACCCCACCTCTTAGTGGCATGCTCCAGGTTTAGCAGCAGCGCCTCCAACTCATCTGAGTGAGCGACAATCACCAGATCAGTATATATAACATGGTTGATCCATAGGGAGCCATTCTTCGACCGCACCCGGGCATCGATCAGCCTCTCGTTGTATCTGTACCAGATGGATTTTCCTACGGTACAACCGTGGAAAGCTTCTCGTACTACGTGGTCAAAGATTATGTTAAATAATGTGGGAGCTAGAGGACATCCCTGTCGCACCCCAAGGTGAACAGGGAATGGCTTCGATTCCTGGCCACTTAATATACCGGGTCCTGCCCACCATCATGAAGGCCCTTAACGATTGTGAACAGAGAGACACGGATTCCGAAAGCACGAAGAACAGCCCAGAACCCATTGCCTGTTGATGGTATCATAGGCCTTGACCAGGTCAGTAAAGCAGAGATGTAGGTCTTGTTGGAATTCCCTGCAACTCTGCACACACACACGCGCACACACACACACACGCACATAAACGCATACACACAATTAAATATTACATTTATTTCGTGGAAGAAAATTTGGCTCTGACAAATGTATATATTTTTAAAAATCAGAGTAAAGTGAAGTGATCAAGGTATACATAGTATTATCATTGTGCAAGTGTGTTAACGGACAAGGATGTATACCCAATATAATTGTGCACACACACGTATATGAATCCCACGTGTAGGAACAAAGATATACATGATTCACAAAGACAAATATCCCCCGTATATCCTTAACATAATGTTGGAGCAAGTGCTGTTGGCGAGAACCTATGAAGGCCACTACTGCACACAAGGGGGGTGGTTGGCCAGCACCACGCCCAGCCGCCTTTGTCTCCCCAGTGCTGATGTTTGCACACCGCACCAGGTCCTCATGTATGGCCGAGTCGACCTAGGGGAGGCCCAGGACCGGTTCAGATATTCGCCGCTGTTATTGGACGTGAGCGTGAAAGTGAACTTGGGTCGCCGTGTCCTTAGCGCCGCTTGCCACCCACTACCGCGGATTGAGCACCGCACATGATGGTGATTATGGTGATTATGGTGATGATGGTGATTATGGTGATTATGGTGATTATGGTGATGATGGTGATTATGGTGATGATGGTGATGATGGTGATTATGGTGATGATGGTGATGATGGTGATGATGGTGATTATGGCGATGATGGTGATTATGGCGATGATGGTGATGATGGCGATGATGGTGATTATGGCGATGATGGTGATTATGGTGATGATGGTGATTATGGTGATTATGGTGATGATGGGGATTATGGAGATTATGGTGATGATGGTGATTGTGGTGATGATGGTGATGATGGTGATTATGGTGATTATGGT